CATTTTTTCAGCTTACAAAGCCAAATCAATTTGAAATTCTCAAAATGCATTTTGTTTGGAAACAACGGGTATCCATTTTAGAAAAAAAGAGCCTGAAATAAGCTGCATCTGGCACATTAAGCCACCGAATTTTCTGGAAGGACTGTAGAACTTCGAACGCTACTAATTCCAAGACACCTTGGGTTCAGACTGCGATGAAGACACTGATCAAAGGTCTTGTGTGATTCGTGTTCTCACCATTACACACGAAAATTGATTTCATCCAGCCTTGAGTTATTTTTCGAAGTGTTATAAACTTGATGAATACCTGCATCTAAGCCGGCTGGACTGACATTTCTGTTCCTACCAGGATCTTTCCATTTTAAGGAATTGTACCAAATTTTTTATATCATTACTGTGCTGATAGCATCTTTATTTTCGGGAAACTCATGCTTGAGTAAAATTGTGAAAATTGTAATTTTTGTCTCTTTCCCGCCTTTTACATTTCGGCGCTGCAAGTGCTTACAAAGGTCTCATCTGCTCAATCACTTGATGATTTCATGAATGCGTATTTTTTGCAATAATAAATTTATAGAAGAGATAGGAATTACAAAAACCCCATCTTTTAGCTTAAGTGGTAGAAAGAAATTACAAAAACCCCATCTTTTAGCGTAAAGTGGTAGAAATTTGTTTAGTTAGAAAAAGAAGCTAGTTTTTCAGGAAACGCTCGGGGTCGGAATCGGACAAAACAGGTGTCTATTTGTATGATGGAGAAACAGGCGAGTCAAGGATATACACCGAATGAACATCCAAGACTTGATTTCCACTGTTCATTTCTCTGTATATCTACGATTAACCATGCGTTTTGGATCAACCTTGTGAATTGAATCCCGTCTGCGTGCATAATCTTCCTTTCCGGTCAATTTGGACTAAACTTGCTGGGATGATTTCGTGAATCACTGATGACGATTCCTTATCTTTCTTTCCGGACATTTTCCTGCGGATTTCACTTTGTCTGGATACCAAGTTTAGTAATTCTGGACAAACCAATTCGACTTCTACACCCATTCTGACAAAATACGTGCATTGATGCTGCACTGAGCAACGGAAATACTGTACTTTCTCAGACATCAAAAATGCCAAAAATAGACCGGGCAATCGGCTTGGAGATCGCATACTTCATAATTTCGGTTGGATATCATGCGCCCTGTACACTGAGCTGCATAATTCTAGTTAGTATCCATTACCTTTTCGATGCACGTGTGCCATCCTTTCGGGAATTGCTTAAGTAACCGTTAACTTTTTCGTGAGTAGCACCTGCCGAAACAATAAACGAACATGTCCCATCATAAGACATTATTTTCTCGTATGGTCGCAGTGATATCCTGCACGCTTCTTGTCAGACAAAGAAGCTAGTCGCCTATGTGGTTACAACGAGATACTCCAAGTATTCTTCGCTCCACTGCTCTTTCGAACACAGCCAGCGTTTTGTGCTTGAATTTTCCCTCATTATTATACAAAAATGCGGTAATAAAAGAGTAATAACAACTGATCGCATCCAATTTTGTGTAATATGCAGTATTACACAATTTTTTGCAATATGCAGTATCTTTACTGAACTTTAAACAGCGCAAAACAAGACAGAACAAGCGCAACAATGGAACAGAGGATGAATGAAATACATTATAAGCTGTAAAATAGTAAACACTGGGCCTATTTATCGCATCTTCGGCAGTAAAGACGAAAGTGACTACAATTTGGCGGAACTATATGTAAATTTACCAATGTAATGTCAAAAGCCTCTACGAAAAGCAATTGCTGTTGAGACTATCGATAGATTCCCTTCTCCAAGAGCCAACTGATGACGGTTTTGACTCTTTTCTATCAGTGCCAATATACCGTCGAAACGATGGGCAAAAATTGTAGAGGGATTGGTTGTTTCACCAGCGAAGTTAAATCCTCGAACTTGTACATGCTGCTTGTTGCTAGATCATGTCCGTTGTTGTAAATGCAAAGAAAGAAAACAAAACGAAAATATAACAATTCTGCTTAGTGGAGGGAGATCACAGCACTCAACAAGTCAATTGCAGCAAAAATTGAGAGTGTACTGAGAGTTAAAAAGGCAAAACTGTTTTTAAAATGCACAAAATCAACACTGTTTTGTTTACTCCATCCAAAAAAAATTTCTAGAAGTGTGGAAGCGCAGGGTGTGCTTTTCCTTATGCAGACTTTGCGAATTCGACTGAAATTTTGCAGTAAAGTGTTGTGGGGAATTTTGGTGCACTTCAGACCACACTACGCGCATTTCTTCGTCACAATCGATTTTCCCTCATCGTCATATTCCGCTCGACTGATCCACATTTGTTGAAATGCGCCCTGTAAATGCTGCTTTTAACGCCTAGAATCGTTCGTAAAATCATAAGTTTCAAGTAACCTCCGCTTCAAATAACCTTATTCAGTCTCCGGCTGAAGAAAGAATACCAAACAGCTGGAATGAGTAGAAATTTGTTTCGTTCTATGAAAGAAACTGTAACGAATCACTCTGATTGCCTTGTTTCCTTGCATTCGTAAGGATGGTTATCTGGTATATAAAGCTATTTGGGAACTTTTTTAAAATATTTGAAATTTAATATGTAAGCTTACAAGTGAAGCCAAGATTGATCCACCAATCCAAGCTCCGAATCGTCTTTCCATCGGCGTGGGTGCTGCATATACTCGCAATTTTATGGTCTATAAGTTGATCGTAGGTAAAAATTGTAAAAAAGCATAAAATTTGAATTCTAGCGATTCTAGCGCTTATAATAAGTGTACTTACCGGAGGGCATTTGTGAGCGAGGTCATGATTGAGTCTTTCGGTGAAACCCATCAACAATGAGTTACCTCCTGTCACCGTAAGGCCTGAGTACATTGCCTGCAAAGTGAATATATGAAATGCTTACCAACTTCATTAACATCTCAAATAATTCGGCTTACACGAACTGCAAAATAAAGATATTTCGAAAGTGGACTTCGGACTTGGCTCGAATTCAAAATTTAAAAAGAGCTGCCAAAAACGAAAGATAAAACTGTA